GGCATGCCAGCCAACCATTCTATCTTCACCTAACGAAAGTATGAAGGGAAGAATTTTTGTCCAGGATTAGCACTGTGACATTCAGTGCAATGTAAGGCTTTGAGTTCAGGAAATGTGCTCAGACTGGTCCATCTCATAGGATGACCGAAAATTTAAAAATAGCCTGGGTTTTAAGTTCTGCTAGGTTTGTACTGGGAAAAATGACCAGTTGCAGCGAGGCTTCTGTTTCTTTTTGGCTGTCTGTTGAAGTCACCTAATGGGCACAGCCAGAAGAATTCTGCCACTGACACACATTTCTCCCTGATTAATTACCTAGGTATGGAAGCAGAAGCAGTATGTAATTTCTCTTGTGAGAAAGCTGTTGTTTGTGGCTACGTGCAGATCTCTTCGGATATAGATCTATGAGGATCTACTGATGTGGGATGGAATCCTAGTGTTAAAATATGATCTAGCATAGAAAATTTTGTATGAGAGTAAATCAGACTTCTGTGACTGAAGATTTGCATAGTGATATGCAGAATGGTTTTGCAGGTTTTCAGAAATGCGTATCAGCTATTGCTTGGTGTTAAGAGTTTTGGAGAGTTTAAAGAGTTTAAAAGAAATTGCCTTAATGCCTTGTGCTTGATTTTATGAAGTAACCAAGCACTGCAGGCTGTTGGCAAATGTACTTGCTTGAACAAATGCTTTTATGTGTTACACTACTCAATCTTTATGTCTGTCAGTTTTACTTTCCTCAGGATTTTTGTGTAGCTCCAATGTTTTAATCTTTCATTTCAAGTCTAACTCAGCCTTTAAATACTGACAGATTTTGCTAACTTTCCTGAAGTTATGCTGATATGATTCATTCATGCTTTCTGGGGAACTTGGTTTCCATTGAGAAGTTTCTAAATTTTGGGGAAATAATGTTTGTATAGCATTGTCATTTACAAGATGGCATAGTATGTGAAAGAACAGATGTGAAAAAGGAAGTGAATAAAATTGCTTTGAAATAAAAATGCACATTTTGTGGGCCTCTGTTAGAACGTCTTTTATGAAACGTACTAAGTATTTAATTTTTCTTTTAATGTGAATGTTTTCCTTCTGAAATGAAATTATGTAATAATATTTGACTAACACTTCTTTGCAAGCCTAGTTTTAAATTAAAATTCATAATTAAGCTTAATATGAAATTACAAGATTTGATTTAATGCTTTCTTCCAGTACCAGAACTAATGTTCACTACATTAGAAGGTGTAGTCGTCATTGAGAAGCTTTGTTCTTTTAACAAAAGGTACCAAAAATAAATTCAGTTAGGGTCATAATGGTTTAGTTTAATACTGTTATGATAATAAGTACTGTAATTACTTTCAGATAGTTCCCTTCCCAGAGGATGAGATTTTTAGTTTTGATGTCTGTTTAAAGCATGAGAATGACAGTAAAATTAATGTCATAACCTTTGCAGCCTATTTATCGTTTTCTGTGTAGTATCCTAAAGGATTTTGTGTAACATCTAAAATAAATGTCTTGGTATGCATAAGCATCAAATTAGGTTAATTGGGTTCACCTGATACTCAGTCTGTCTCTCAGGACACCAATTTCATGTAAAAGACCTGTGGGTATCTTTCTGTGAAAATTGCTTTTAAATTATTACATGTGTATGCTCTGCTTCCTTTGATTGTTAAAGGCCAATTTACAGTGTAGAGTTTTTTCCCATTTATTGATATTTTTGCTTCTTCTGGTTGAAAATTCATTTATCTTTTCATTCTCTGGTAACATACAGAGTAGTATAGGCATGATAGACCTTATTTTGTGGCATTAAGATAATTTTTACTTTTTTAATTCTGTCTAACTCCACTTCACTTGAAATTTTTATAATAGATTTCATTTCTGAGCAGTCAGCAGCAGATTTAGAGAGAACTATTTTGAGTTCTGGAGTACTGCAACTTGAATTATTTTAATTTTTGTCCTATGGTAAAGTTACAAACTGAGAAAAACAGGTTCAAAAATTATATAGAGTTTTAAAAATTTCATCATTGGGATAGTCTCCCAGAGAAAAATTGATGATGATGCCAGATAGAAATAATCAATGTCAGCTTCTGTATTTGGGAAGAACTAGTATTGGACTCAAATATGATGAAGAAAGACTGTAAGAATCTTTGCCTCCTCAGTATTCAATAAAAACAGGAACCTCCTGAATTATTAGGGTGGCAGGTATAGGCAGCTGTATAGATGTTATATCCCTCAACTTCTGTACTGTGCATTGATTCAAAATTTCAGAACTTCTGAACTGCAGAACTGCAGTTCTTGGTTAGGATAGGCATCAAACATATGTAGGTATTAAGTATCTTTTAAACATGTTACAGCGTAGCTGAAAGGTGTCAGAAACAGTCAGTGAGAAAGGAATATGAATCATTATACTTGCACTAAAGTTCTGGTAGGACTGGTTCCAAGACTAGAACTAGGCAGTGATCATAAAGACAGTATCCCTGTTGAATTTGAAAATAATGTAAAATGCAGACAGAACAGTCACTCATAGTTACGTGGTCTGCTTTGTAACCTGTGTATTCAGAGAAAACATTAATACAGTTGTACATATAATGATGAATAGAAAAATTTGAAGGGATGATTAAGGAGAATCTTGCCCTGACTTCAAAGTCTTGATTTGTTCTGTTTTTCCAAAAAAGGTTACTTGATTAAATATCTGAAGAAAAAAAAAAAAAAAGGCTATGGAAGGTTCTTTGGTGTAACAACAACAACAAATACTCATGAATGGCTAGAAAATGAAATCAGTTTGAAAAATTACACTTTTTTTAATTGGCAGTAGCCAATCAATCTACTAGTCTCTCAAAGAAGCACTGGATTTTCTAGATCAAGACCATTATCTTAACTGAAGTTAGGGTTGAATTCAAATCAAAGATGCCCCTACAAAATGTTTGGATTTGTATGGTAAAATTTTCTGTGTTAGTGTTTGTGAATGCTTGGAAGAAGATGTGGAGCTTGTACTTCGTTACGATGTTCTAAGAATTGTTGATCTGTATCCCGAAGTCTGGTCTGCTTGCTATAATTCTAAGAGGAATTAGTAACCTTAAGTGGGCTTAGATGATTTTGTGCTCCCTACAACTAGGAAGGACCATGAAAACCTATAAAAATGTGACTTCAGAATAATAATTTTGAGGACCTTAATTTCGGCATAATTTCTTACATTGTTTTTCACAAGAATACGTGTTGCTGTAACTACTTCAGTATGTTCTCAAGTGTTGGAAATCCTGAAGTGGAATAAAAACTTCTAACTTTGATTCTGTGGAAAGATCTCGTTGAGCAATATGGCCTTAAGGAAGTATGTCTTACGCTGTGAGTCACAAGTTGAAAGGCCACCCTGGTGCCTAGAAGTCTTTCGCCAGTCTAAACTTACATCAGTGTAGTCTGCTCATTCTTGCAGTTTAAGAGGGAGTTGTCTTTATGTTACCACGATGTGAAACTACCTCTAGATGAGCTGGCATGTGTTTGTGTTCTGGGTCTGACAGATAAGGAGGTGACTGCTAAGTACCACGGACAGAGGCTCTTTGAGGCAGCCTGGGATCTGCTCTTATGCATTGGCTAACCTTTGCCAGGAGGTGCTGTTTAGGTACAAGAGCTTCTTATTACGTATGGCTCAGCACAGGAGATACACGTACCAAAGAACCTCTACCTGTTTGCTGTGTGTGAGGTCTCCTCACAGCAGACACAATCAATTTTCTTTTATGCTTTGGTATTGAATTTCCTGGAAATGGAATTGGTTTTGCCTCTTTTATACTTTACTGCTGCCCACAGAACCATCTCCTTCCTAGAACCTCACCACTGCTTTTTGAGAGTCAATTGCATGACAGTAAAGAAACATATTCAAGACTTACTTTTGTGTTTGGTAATTGCATCAGAATTTGTCCTAACTATTTTTGTATAAATCTAAAACCAATTTGTTGGTACTTCATGTGATCAGAAGGGAGCTCTTCAGAAGAGTGCACGTCTGGGATGTTCTTTATTTAAGATTCTGCTGGCTGTTAAATTAGCCAGGAAAGTAAGCAAACTCCACATCTACACAACTCCTCTGCTCATGGGAAATGTTATAGATATGCACTGGTACAAAAGCCTAGATCCAGGTAAATCCCCAAGCAGTTGAATTTCAGTCTGTGTTGATCAATTTACTTGCTGGTTACCTTCCCAAAGCCTCCAGGTGCATCAGGAGAACAAGAGTTCTATACTCTGTCTGACTTCTAACATGTTAGTGGTGGTCAGTTGATCCAGACTATTATGCAGCCATTCCAAAAGCTAGACCATTTTATGATAAAGAAAATCCTTAAGTGAATAACAACACGATTTTATACTGTCTTTGTATTATACTGTGTATTTTTCACTTTTGAATCACAGTTGATGAAAGCTTGAGCAACACTGACTGCACTGGGAAGAAATAGCCAACTCTTAAGTTACTGGGTGGTTACTTGATGTAATGCCATAATGTCAAACATTATGTATCAAATTTTGTGGTTAAATTCAGGAGACGTGGCAGTGTAATGTTTGCTTCGCAAATGCAAGCTAACATCTTAATTGTAGCATCCATGGAAGATGCTGCTTGTCAGTCTGTTATATGGGATTCATGCAGTCAGATGTTTTAAGAAAAACGATTGCTTAAACCTGCATTGGCTGTGATTTTTCAGAATGTATTGTCACACTGGAATTCATGATGTGTCCCCTTTTCTGTCTTTAAAAGGGGTTTTCAGTTATAAGAAGCCTAAGTTAGTTGTATCCACTGCTGAAATATAGAGAATGCATGTAAGGGTATGTGTGATCCAGAGAAACACTTGGTTTAAAACTCTAATGGTGTTTTCGCATGAGGTATAGGCATACTGGGATCCTTTCTGAAATACAGTTTTTGAAAACTATTGGTATTTTCCTCTTCTTTTTGTTTGTTTTGGAAAGTTATCAGAGCTTCTAAGTATCTGTATTTCTTCTTTGCAGGAACGTTGTCGTAACTATTAAAGGGCATAATGCAGAATCCTTTAACTTCTTCTGCAGGTATAGTATATACATCCTCTATTTTTTTGAGAAATTAGATACTTGTGGTTCAAAATGTGAAAGAAATGTCATCATCATTAATAAGTCACTGTATAACTCATGTCTACTATTCTACCCTAATGTGTGTTTTAAAAAAAGACATTATACTGCAGAATTATCACTTTAAATTATTGCAATAGCTATAATTGTTTTCTTCTGTAGGACATTGCTAATTACTCTTAACACCCATAGCTGAAACTTGAAATATATTCATCTGCTTCTTGCTTGATTCAGCAGAATTGAGTGTTCAGGGTTTATTACAGTTTTTTTCATCCTCATATATTTGAAAATCATTGTCATATTTGACCCCCATATAATTTGGGGTCAGATCTATTTGCAAGTTGTGCTACAGGACTAGCACAAACAAGAAAATAAATGTATTCTAAATATAAACTTAGATTTTTAGATTCTAAGTGCCATTTCTCCAGCATTCCTATCCTTAGTAACATTATTTGTGCTTAACTATATTTCTTCTATGTTTTGTCTCTTCAAACATCATCTTCTGGTGATTTATTTTTTCAGTAGGGTTAGTGTCTTGGATTTTCCCCTCTGTTATTAATAAGGATATCTGTGCTGCAACTGTGTATTCCCAAGCCTCTAAATGTGTAGCCATAACTTTAATTTCCATTCCCGTTTGATCTGTGTCACAATGCTAATGTTTAAGTATCATTTTGAACTTGAATGTCATTTTTAATGATACTTCTTAAATGTGAGTGAATGTTTGATGGATATGACACAAGCACTAATGGACCTTTCAGAACCATTGCAGGTTGTCAGTTAAATTTCCATTGTTAGTACTTATATTAATTAAGAAAAGTACTATATATTACTTAACTTGAAGCCTTGAGCTTTTACTGTCATTTAAGTTTATACTTTACCTGTTTTGTGAAGACTGAGTATTTTTATGGTACTGTAATAATTCTAAGGAAGCTATTCCAGAAGGATGTCACGCAAATTGATCTTGGTTGACGAGTTCTGCGTCTAATGGGACTATTCTTTCAAGAGAGACAGTACTTACTGTTGTGTAAAGTTATCTACCCTGCAGTGTGCTCTTCATCCATATACTTATGACTGAAATACTTAATTTTAGTACTTAAAAGCCTTAATTTAATTCTTCCTTTAAATAACAGGAATTTAACCACTGCTGTAGTTGAATGGAATGAGTTATCTTTATGTTGAAGTCATTTCCGAATAACAAGAGAATATAGACTGTGAAGCTGTTTCCAGACTTGAAACTGAAATCATTTGCTTTTGAGATTTTTTTTTTACTTACTTTTTTTTTCCCTAAACAAAAATCCATTCTAGTCAGTATCCTGTTATCATCTTGCCCTCAGAGTGAATTACGGGAGCCATATCGTAAGCTTTGGAAGTAAGGGTTCATGTCAGAAATCATAACCAGATCCTGGCCAGGAGCTGTAGCAGTGTGAAGTCATGATATTCTACAAATAGACTAGTCTCAGTATATATTTTTTTTGGTATTCTTTTACTATCACTCTTATTTGTCCTTCCATCAAGCATCACTTTTGTTTCTTAAACATGATATGGCACTTTGAAAATGTTGAGGCTGTTGGCAATTTATAAAGATTTATGTACAACTATAACATTGGTACATTTCTTACAAGTAAAATATTTGTAAATAAATGGTATTGGAAGTAGACCCTATCCATCAGTTACATTCAGTATACCATTTTTGTCTGTCTTTCTATACTTCAAAAATGCTTGTTATGTTTCAGTTACGTATGGAGATAAAGGTTAGTGCAGGTTCTTTGAGTGACAGCATAAACCCATCACTTCTACTGTTTGTCATGTAATAGTGGGAGTTCTGTAATATCATATGTACTGCTTCAGGGCATCTGTATTTTTCTCAATTTAAAATGTTTTATAAGCAAGGTGATTATAATTTACATAATAAGCAATTGAACAATGTAGCTCCATGTTCAAACAGATGTACTTTACTGAATAATGATAAATATTTAACTTCTAAAATTTTAATTTTTTCCTAGGAATTATGAAATTATAATTGAAGCATTATATCCTGTCATTCACATTCATGTTAATATTTGTTATTGAGCAAGTGCTGGGTTGTTTTTACAGTGCTCCACGATGACGTAAAATATCAGTGTGCCTTAGAGAACTGAAACACCTTTGACATTGCCAGATTTATAAAACGTTTCTGTTAAGTCACTCTTAACACACTTAACACATGCTTGACTACTTATTTTAATTTTTTACAAAATCATGTAGTTTTTAAAAAGTCATTGTATAGTTTAGTACATTTTATATCCATGTTAGTAGGGTCATTTGGTGCTGGGAGATCTCAAACTTCATTAGCCATGTAAATGTGTTTCTTAGCATCAGCTCTCACTTTGCTGGAACCCCTGCTGCCTTTATATCATTAACATAAATGCAGGTGCAAATAGCATTTATGTACTTTGATAGAAAGCAGTTGGAGACATTTCACTGTGGGACACAACACTTTCAGATTGTGTACATCTGTTCAAATAATGTATCCAAGCCAGTGACATGAATGCAAGGATAAAAACATCTGCCCTTGAGACCATTTGCCATACAGCAGATGCTTACATCTTTATTTATGCAGATGGTTTGTGTGATGAGCTGAGCAATGATGAAAGCGAGAAAGTTTGACAAAGATTTCAGGGTATTGCTTGGGATGGGAAAATACGTTGGTAACAGTGCTTCATTTTCAAGATGTCTACCAAAAGAAGAACATCTGTTATAAATACTGATGTTTTTAGTGACAAGATCGTGGGTTTTTTGACATTAGCTAGATTAACACAAAATCTGTGAAGGTTTTTTTTTTTTTTTATTTTTAACTCTCTCGCACAAAAATTGTACTGCAGTTACAGGAGATACTAAATAGTTTAATAGAAGTGATTGCTTTTAACAGGAAGGCTCAACTGCTTCACTTCAACGTGTTCTCAAGTTCTTACAAGACATTGGATTGACTGAAAAGTCGACAAGATTAGAGTATTTTGGAATAATAGCGTAACTTCAAAGGCTGTGTGTGGTGCTGTAGATTCCATGACTTTGGTGATTTTTGAATAGAAGCTGTATTTAGCGTTCCAAAATTATTAGGCAAATAGTTTAGCTTTTCTGTTGTTTGAAAATTACTGAAGGGTAATTGACGTGAGTGGCAGATCTAATCTGAGCTGTCACTTAAGGAACAGAAAGTGCCCTGTGCGGCCTTCCTGGCCGCAGCAAAGCTTGCCTGGCTCCGGCGGTGGCCAGAGGCAGCGGTGACAGCCGCCCGACTCCCCCTGCTGGACTCTGCACCAAGGGGCTCCTTTGTCTGCTAGCACAGCCAGATAGATACACGTGAATTTAATTAGAAGTGTACTGATAGTTCAGCACATGGCAAGTTAAGGATATCATCTTTGGCCTACATTCCTGTTGACTGCATTCCTGTTTTCATTCCCTCACATGCTGGCACCCCTTACAAGTGTTTGCTGATACATTATCACTTAGAAGCAATGTATTCAAACAATTCCTTTACAGCACATCCAGTACCTTCTTTTGAGAACCAGTGCTGCCTTTAAACAAGACAGTGGCTAGTATGGGCGTGCTTAGCAATGCCAATAAGGATTGCAAATAATTGTAATTATGCATAGCAGGTGGAAAAACATTCAGATACTGTAATTTAAATTGTTTTCTGCTACATCCTGCTGCCAGAAAGATCTAGCTATTTTGAGGTGCAGCAGCAGGTAATAGTTTTGTATGTTCTGAAAACTAATGTCTTCCTATCAAGGACCATAGCCTTCCTGGAGATGTTTTAGTTTTCCTATGCTGTACAGAGCTGTGTCTGTCTTTGGAAAAAATACACATATCTAGTTGAAGTACTGAGGAGATCCTCTAATCTTTATTTTTGTTTTAATCCTTAGTGGAATTGATTACAGGTGGCAATGTTGGCATATCTCAGCCAGAACTGTAGAGTCGTTTTCTGAAGAAATTTGGGTCATGAAGAACGAAAAGGGAGGACAGCTAGAGCAAACAAAATGCCCAGATAGAGATTCCCCATTCAGAAGTTAGTTCACTTAGGTCAGTTTTAAAGGAAATGAGCTATTTACAAAATCCCTCAGCAAATACTTTCCAACTGTCATTTAACTTAACAATCTGTTCTGTGTTCTGGCCCTTTCTTTGGGGATTGATAAACCCTGAGTATAGTTCATACTGGAAGACTCAGAATAGGCCAGGCCAAGACTGATAATCTTCTGATCCTCTGTTCATCTTTAATGAGGGAGCGCTTTCTGAGGTTTGTACCACAGAAGTTACCATACAGATGCTTTTAATGCCTTAAATGAGATGTATTTGCTCTACTGAGCCAAAGGGGTGAATTAACTGTTTGCTCTTGCGTACAGGCTCTCTTCTAAAGAAGTGCTCTGATTTTCGCAAAATGTGATACTTCATAAAAGGAATAGTGAGTTTGATCTTCTGTTGTGCTGTGTTTGCACATCAGTATTCGAAAAAGTAATTCTGTAAGAGGCGTAATTCCCTTACTGCAATCAGACGTGAATGTTTTCTGTCCCACAGAGGGAAGGAAGGAGGGTTGAAGTCTGAGTAAGATGAAAATAGATTCTATTCTCAGCTTATTTGAAGGGGGAGCAAGAGTCTGGTCAGAAAATATTTCATGATGTGTTCATAAAATGGTTCTACTTGACCTTTTTGTGCTGCATAGTTTCTGAAGAATTCTTTTTTGTAACAGACTTGGTAATTACTGTTTCCTACACTTAGGAAAAAATAAGTATATTAATTCCCACTTCTATTAGGCATATCACGATTTTGTCCAGGTTGATGTGATCTTGATAGACCTTTTAAAAAGGATTTTACATTGATACTGACTTTTCAGTGAATGAATTACTGTTTAGGTCCATATCTTTCTTGAAGCTCGCCAGACGAAATTTCAACTGGCAGTTCTCCCAGAAAAAAAATTTAAAATTCCAATTGCAACCTTTTCTTTTGAATCTTTTGTTTATCCCCATCTTCTAAAGTACCTAATTTATATTTGTAGTGCCATTGAAGGTTTATGAATTACGAGTTTATGACCTGTGCTTCCATCACCTCCCATCAGCTATTTTCTAAACAATTGGTTCCCCTAAGTGGCTGTGTCACTGAAGCCTCACTTCACAAATCTCCAGGGATGGTACTCTCTATGGAACAGAATGACTGGGCAATACCAACAAAGATAAACCACTGGATTTTCAGTGATACCAGAATAATTTCCATTCTACTCAGTTCTGAGTCCTGTTGTAGCAGCGTGGTTTCTAGATAACGCCTCTATGAAATTTGACATGGTTGATTGCTGAAACTAGTAGAGGCATATAGAAGCTGGAACACAGGCCTTGGTGATGTATCTAACAGTTTCTCTCAGACAGAAGTTCCATGCTTAAACAGGAACCAGTGTTTTCACCTTCAGTAGTGATTTGTGTAGTTGCAGAGTCCAGGCACCATCTTGAGCCCAAAGATTTATCTGCATAAACCTTATGCCTGAGTTCTCTTATTGCCATAGTGAGAAAAATCTTTGTGTGATTTCTTCAACTGTAAAGGTGGGAAAAGTTATAAAAAATTATAGATGCTTTATGTGTAGCTTTCTTTATGTCAGTTTTCATTTCTTGATACGAAAATATTTTGATCTGCTTAAAACCTATTATTTATATTAACCTTAATATAAATGAATAGCTTATAACTTGACAGGGAGTGCCTTCAAAAAATTAAAAGCTTTTAAAGTTCACACAAGCTGCATGAAAATGTTAAGAGAACATGTGGATCTGCTAATAAATGGATTTTAAATTCATTGCAGAAGAGTGTTTAAAAATCTCTTCTGTATATATGTTCTTCTTATCTCTTATATAGATACATGTGCTGACTTTTAGGAAAGACTTCCAAGACTATTCCTTTATACAGTAGCACAAAAATGGCTTTTTTTTATAGGAAGTTGTGTTAAGCCTGGGTTGCACATATTTTACAGAAGATACTGCTTTTGAATATTGATTTACCCACATGTAGCTAATACGTTTAATATAACAACTCGGAAGGGTTACCTCAAAGCTGTTGGTCACTTATTACCTATAGAAACAGGATTTTATACATATTTTAAAAATTACTTGTGTTGGGACAGTACAGAGATATGTGAAATCTAAATCTATGAGAAATCCAAAATGGTGTCTTAGATTATTTTTGTTGTCTAATGCTGATAATAGAGTATCTAAATGCATTGATTTCTTGATTTGTTAACTTTTGATCAGCTTTTGCATAGGTATGTGTTTTATGTTACACTTTTCTCTGAGAACAGAGATACTGGAGCCAAGATGCTGGAGAGATTGTATTGGCAGAAGGAAGCCTTAATTGCAGAAACAAATGTTAATTAGAACCATAGAATGGTTTGTGTTGGAAGGGACCTTCAAAGGTCATCTGATCCAACCCTTCTGCAATGAGCAGGAAGATCTTCAACTAGATCAGATTGCTCAGAACCACTTCCAGCCTGGCCTTGAATGTTTCCAGGGATAGGGCGTCTTCCACCTATCTGGGCAGCCTGTTGCAGTGTTTCACAACCCTCATTGTAAAAAATTTCTTCCTTAAATCTAGTCCAAATCTACTCTCAGTTTAAAACCATTATACCTTGATCTGTTGCTACAGGCCCTGCTAAAAAGTCTGTCCATGTTTTTCTTATAGGCCCCCTTAAGTATTGAAAGGCCCTTAAGTATTGAAAAGATTAGGGTCTCCCTGGAGCTTTCTCTTCAGGCTGAACAAGCCCAACTCACTCAGCTTGTCTTCGTAGGAGAGGTGCTCCAGCCCTCTGGTTATCTTCGTGGCCCTCCTCTGGACTCGCTCCAACAGGTCCATGTCTTTCTTGTACTGAGGACTCCAGAGCTGGGTGCAGTGCTCCAGATGAGGTCTCACCAGAGCAAAGTAGAGGGGCAGAATCACCTCTCTCCCTTCTTTTGATGCAGTCCAGAATACAGTTGGCTCTCTGGACTGTTAGGTGCACACTGCTGGCTCATGTCAAGATTTTCATCCACCAGTACCCCCAAGTCCTTCTCTGCGGGGCTGCTCTCAATCCCTTCAGCCCCCTAGCCTGTTTGATACCAGGGGCTGCCCCAGCCATGTGTAGGACCTTGCACTTGGCCTTGTTGAGGTTCATACAGGCCCACTTCTCAAGCTTGTTCAGGTCTCTCTGGATGGTATCCTGTCCCTCCGGTGTGTCAGCTGCACCACTCAGCTTGGTGTCATCTGCAAATTTGCTAAGAGTACACTCGATCCCACTGTCCGTGTCATTGATAAATCTACTCAACAGTACTGGTACCAGTATGGACCCCTGAGGGACACTACTTTTCATTGACTTCCATCTGGATATTGAGCCATTGACCACTACTCTCTGGATGCAGTAAGTCAGTCAATTCCTTATCCACTGAACAGCCCATCTGTCAAATCTGTATCCAGTTTAGAGAGAAGGATGTTATGCGGGACCATGTCAAAGGCCTTACAGAAGTCCAGATTGATGGCAGCATGATAATGAAGCAGCTCCTATGTATACTTTCAAACAACAGAGGAAAGCAATTCTGAAAATTGAGGAAGTGGAATTACTTAACAGTACAGATTGTTTGGGTTTTTATCTTTTTTTTTTTTTTTTTTTTCTGTAAGTTATGTTAGGTACTAATTTTCTGAAAACTAAGTTTAGATCTCTCTAAACTTTGGCATATGTCAGTGTATAGTTCATAGTGCAATAAAGATGTTTCGGGGGAGAAAAAAAGACTGAATTAGACCGGAAACTCAAGAACTTCCCTAAATACAAACTGTGTGCCCATGATCTTGGATTACTGTATGAGTTACTTCTCCAAAATGACTGTTTATACCAAAAATAGTTTTAGCGTATTCCCACACTGAAAAATGTTGCCAGAAATTTGAAGTTTGAACATCTGCTTTAATGGAGTCCAGTTAATATAAAACCCCACCATTTTAATTGTATAACTTTGTTGTTTTAATGCTCTCTTCTGCTAAGAAAAGTCTTTTGGAGAATATTCAAGGAATTCAGGAAGCCTCCCACTGCTCACAGAATTTCTTGAAATGCACTATAATCTTAATCACATAAAATAAGCTTGCGTGGACTTCAAAGCAAAGAAGACTTTCTAAATGATAAAATGCTTATTGCACACCTAGCAAATCACATTGCTCAAATCAGAACTAATTATATTTAGCTTTAAAGAAGTTTAATATTCCCTTTTACAATTTTAATTAACTATTTTGATCTCGTCCTCCTGTGGTATACCAGAACGTATTTTCAAAGTGTATTTGTACACTGTGTTTGTGTGAATGATGTGCTATGATTTTCCAGTCTTGCATTAGAATACTTATATTGTTTATTTTTCTAATCTATTTTAAATTACACGAAAAGACTCATGCAAACGTAATTATATTACTCTTCAAAAACAAGTATTAAAAAGTAAGAAATGCAAGATACAAGGTTATGCATGTAGGTTAGATGATATTTCTTCTTTTACATGTAATAATAATATTTGTTACCCATCTTAAATCTATGTTTAATTCCCTGACTGTGTGGCCTAAACTAACTCATTTCTAGTTCCCTTGTCCTTTCCTGTTTGTCCTGTATATATCGTAATTTCTCTTCCACACTGTTAGCCTAGCAGTTAGGATAGGCCATTTCATTGTTCCAATGTGGGTGTTTGAACCTAAAGCAGTAGTCCAGCCTGAAGCAGGAGCACATTCAATAGAATGCAAGCATTGGAAGAATTAGCTGCTTAAAGTATCTATTGAACACATGCCAAGAGCTTACAACTTTGCTAAATTTGGGCAGCTTTTCACAGACAAAAGAGTCATTGCTGTGTCAAATATCAAGGTCTTTGTCTAAGGCACACATACTAGATTCTTTTTTTTATTTTTTTGAATGCAGACATCCCTGGGGATGGCTGGCATTTTCTGTTGAAATCGATTTTAGAAAATTATCTGGGGCAAATACACAGAGCAGAACATTCCACCCAAATAGTTATTATTAGGCACAAATAGAAACATCTGGAAATTGTCGTAATGTGTAGAGTTGGGCACTCCTGATTTGTAGGCTTTACTACCAACCTTACTTTGCATAGGTATGTGGCAAACCTAGTTTTGAGCAGAGGAGGAAGATACTCTATTGTCTAGAATATCTGTAGTTCCAGTGATTTATGTGGGATTACAAGAAGTGTAAAATAGTATATAATTTAGCCCCCGGTTAAAAACCTCACTAAAGCTACTGAATCTTCATTTTTCTGAGCTTTTTATTTTGGTGCTGTTGACTGTCTTCCATGACACTGAAGCTAAAGCATCCCATCTGTTTACCACATTAACCAGCTTTACTCAATTATTAAGCTATCACCTTGCATTTGTCACGTAATAGGTTAGATTTTAGAACATTTTTTGAGGCAAGAAAAATGGTAAAGAGCAAGTAGCAGTAGCTTTCTTAATGCATTAACTGCAAGTTAATGTTTTATGTTGTCATTTTATATTGTCTTTTTCTGTTTTTCATTGGGTTTGGGGGTGGTTTGGGTTTTTGTTTTTTTTTTTTTTGTCCTGGGATCTATTTATAACTGACTGAAGCACTTTTGCAGGTGGTGTTTTTTTGCATGGTAATCTTGCAGTGAAACATAGTGTCCAGCAAAGTGTGCTGGGTCAGCAAAAACAAGAAACTTGTGGTGGAAAGACAGTATCCACAGGTATTTAGTGTGTATGGAGATTTGGCAAAACGAGTGATTAACTAGCATTGATAGAAATAAATCTAATAGAAAGTTCTTTCCCATAGAATAGATATTCTTTCTTTCAAATTCAGCAAAAGACAACATAAACATGCATTTAATAAAATACTTCATTATTCTTTTTCATGTGTTCTGCATTTCCCTTCAAAACAAGATAATCCTTTTGTGTGTGTGTGTTATTTTCTGTAACTTGTCCAGTCATAACAAGTTAAATACCTATGCAAGGGAAGTGGTCCTAAAAGGATTATTAAAAAAATTAACACTATTACACAGTAGTTTCTGGTATATTGTGGTTTATTTTAATGTTCAAAATAGACCAGATTAGTGGGGAAAATTAAATTTCTTCTCAAGTTTTCTACAGTGTCTGAGTTCAGCAATGTTACGTGCTTTACATAGAGAACAAACTGAAGGAGGTACAAAGAGAAGGCAGAAGAGGTTGGAGTAGACCAGACTTGAATGACTTAGGAAGGAAGGGAAACCATGAATGAAGAGGAGCCCTGTGGAAGACTTTCTTTCCTCCAGAGGACTCTTTGCAGCATGGCTATATCAAAGACTTTGATGCATTGTTGTTGGCTTGTTTTGTTTTTTATTTGTGTATCACTCTTCAGTCCTATACAATTTTAAGGTTACTTAGAAGGGGTGAGGTGACATCCTGCAAGTTTCTCAGAGATTTGGTATTGCAAGTGCTAGCATGGTAACCATCAGTCTTTTAACAGAGACTTTTAAAGTATATGAATTGAATTGCATTTCATTTAACATTGTGCTTAATTATTTTAAAGTGTTACCTGTTGCCCCAATTCTATGCCTATTTGAAAGACTGAGAGAACACGGAAGTTAAAAATGGGTTTCATGTAATTTAGATATTACATCTAAGGTTTTGTTAATTTCCTTTATTCTTAATGAAAATTTTTGAGAAATTATAAAAGTTTTTGCCTTCCAGTGAAGGACCTGTAGACTGATATGTAGAAAGAATGTTGTCTAAAACCAAAGGCCATCCTCAAAAATGCCATTGCAGAACCGCCCTTAACTGAAAAGTCCCTTTCTTAGATGCCAGACTACATGGGTTTGCATAGGCATTGAAGGCTTTTCCTCAGGTCATAACTGACAAGTCCAAGTGAGTCCTTTGAATCAGAGACAGAAATAATTTGGCAGGGAGTGTGGAATAGAAGTGGAATGTCCCTGAAAGTGCATGTTAAGTTTCCAAGTGGCCTTCTGGTAGCCAGAAAGCCAAAGCATAGTCAAGTCATTCCATGCCAGGGTGGTGAAGACAGGAATTACTGTAGCGATCTCTGTGTGCAAAGGAAATTGTTGGAACTTCTTGCCAAGTATAAATGGAAAAAATGGTTTGGGTTACTGATGATACTTGCACGTTCTGGATGGGGTCAGCAGGACCTCCAATCTGTGAACTGACTGGCTGCTTTTTCCTCATCCAAGATGCTAAATAGTCGTCCACCAGTTCTTCCAATTAGCGTTCCCAATCCATAAGCAAATTTTTAACTGAGTGTGGAGGATCATCAGACAGCTAGTCTGCATCTGGCCTGTCTCTATATTTAGACACTGGCTAAGCTGCTGAACTACAGCAGCTGCGTTGGATGAGAGGGAAGTAGAGTTGCGTATCCGATGCTTACCAGAGGCACTGCAATGAATATTTCTGCACTAAACTCTAATATAAAGTTGGGGTGGGGAAAGAAAAAAAAAGCTGTACTGAAGCCTGATTCCAAGCATAGCTTGCCTGGAAGATGTATTTATGGTAAAATTATGCTTGTTGGAAAAAGAGTGCTTGTGTAAAAATCCTTTCTCAAACAGTTATATCAATACTTAGTATTGTGTTAAGTGCATAACAAGAATATTGGTCTAAATGGACCTTGTTTCAAAGAGCATTTTGTGGTTGATATTTATGAGGGTCTTGGCTTCTAGAATGGTACTTTGTTGTGGAATGCTGAGAAAATATGTGGAGATTCTTTCTTTAAAGAACAGTGATTTTACTGCCTGATTTTGCATTAGGCAAGTCAGCGTATTTGAAAAGCATATGCTTACTTTTAAAGGTAGTGTCAAGTGTAATTTCTACAAATATTTCCTTCTAACCTCAAATTAACCTTTCTTTTGTGATGCTTTAGCTGTCATTTCTGCACTTTTGTAGAGATGGCATGTCCACAGCAAAACTTCCATCTTTTCCTGAACTCAAATCATTTGCTGCCGTTAGTGGAGAGCAGGCGCCTTATAACTTGGAGTGTAAAGTAGCACAGTCTGCTGAAGGTAGCACTGTGCTGAAGTGCTGGTTTTCCTAAAAAGTTTATGCAAATCAAAAGCAGCAGCAAGAGGATACCCTACAGGAAACAAAAAATAATCTGAGCATTACTAGCAATTTTAGTTGTTGAAAACATACAGGTTTCTATGTATTTGGTGGTTGTAGATTGTCAAAAATTAAGTTCTTAGTGAGAAATAGTACATGCTCCTAGCTTTTGGAGAATAAAGAGGGCT